GAGAACGAGGATGTTGGGAATCGAGAGAAGTTGATGGTTGCTAGAAAGGGAGGGGGATATTATTTTCTTTTTGTTTTTCTTAACATAGTTTCTTAATGTGTCTTAAAAAAAAGATTAGCTGGTAGCTTCATTATGGCAGTTTAGCATTTGAGGGCCGGGAAGACTTACAGAGGCATTTCAACTTTTTTCGACCAACCCAGGACTTATCGTGTGCAATAGGGCCGGGAATTCATCCCAACCACTGGACCACCCCGTGGTGGTTGTTTTCAAACATATTTCATTGCTTTAATTTTGGATTTTTGAGGTGCTACTTAGTACTACGGTCTAGTAGTATTCCTCTTTATTTGTAATTGAGAGGTTTTGAATTTTTGAGGCGCCACTTAGTACTACGGTCTAGTAGATAATATCGTTTGTTCAAAAAACAAAAAATTGGATTTTTGAGTAATTTTGTCAATGGATATATTTGTCTTTAGAAATTTAAATTTTGTTTGTGTTGATACACTTTTTTGTTGGTGTAAACAAAAAGATGGAGAATAAGCAAGTGACCCTTTACCACAGTGATGGAGATGAGTGATGCCCTTGCACCACGACGTGAGTTCGAACCCGCCGACTAGACTTGGCATTCATGTCGTGTTTTCCGTGTTCGTGTCGTTTTCGTGTCATACCCGATATCTTAACGGGTCGTGTCGTGTAACACCCGTTAAAATAAACGGGTAAAATGACCCGACCCGAAATCGACCCGATAATATTAACAGGTAATATGACCCGACCCGTTACCCGTTAAGGAAAATATATTTTAAACCAATAAATAATCAAATGAAAAACATAATACTAAATAAGTATATACATTTCATATTATCACATCCAAAACATAAAAACGCAATTTTATTTTAAGTATATTTTCGCTTACCTAAAGTCTTTAATAGTTTTTTAATTAATGTAGAAGTGTAAAAAAATATAGAAAAAAATATATAAACACTCGTAATGACAAGCTTTATAACTTTCATGAAGAGCTTAACTTCAAAATTCGCCACTATAATCATATAAATCATAGATCAAAATTTAACCGTTGATTGTTGTTTACATTTATGCTTCATTGTTCTCATCAAATTTGGTTTTTTTAGATTTTCTTTTTTGAAAACATGATCTATTAGAGGGTGCAGGTAGATGAACGGTTTGGATCGTTGATATTATATTTAGAGTTTTACGGTTAGTGAAAATATTGCTTGATGTTTATAAAGTTTCTACAAATTATATGACATTGACTCATATTTCAGTTAACCGTAAATATCGAAACGTGATATCATCTTCTTACATCCGCCAGATGATCATGTTTTCAAAAAATAAAATTTTAAAAATGAAATTCAGTCAGAAGAATAAAGTGTAAATAACAATTGACGGTTAAATAAATTTAAGGTTTCACTACTACAAAATTATCTATTGCTGGCGGTCCAAAAACTTTTTTCAACGATCCAACCGTCAAACTTATTTGTACACATTCCAAGATTGCATACGTAAAAAATCGTAAAAAACAAACATTCAAAGATTACGTAACGGAACAAAAGTTTTCGACGGTTATAAACGAAAAATCACAATTTAACGGTTATTTTAGCTCCGATTTTGATGATTTTTTACAAATACACTCCTCGACCCTATAAGAATGTAATGAATAAATTTGATCTTTAATTTAAAGTATTTACACTAGTGGATACCACAAAAACTTATTTTATACTTAATAGAAGTATAATATTAACTCTAAGTGTTTGTTTAATCTACCGTTTTGACGCAATATGCATTCTACAAAACTTTTTTCAACGATCCAACCGTCAAACTTATTTGTACACATTTCGAGATCGCATACGTAAAAAATCGTAAAAAACAAACATTCAGAGATTACGTAATAGAACAAAAGTTTTCGACGGTTATAAACGAAAAATCACAATTTAACGGTAATTTGAGCTCCGATTTTGATGATTTTTTACAAATACACTCCTCGACCCTATAAGAATGTAATGAATAAATTTGATCTTTAATTTAAAGAATTTACACTAGTGGATACCACAAAAACTTATTTTATAGTTAATAGAAGTATAATATTAACTCTAAGTGTTTGTTTAATCTACCGTTTTGACGCAATATGCATTCTACAAAACTTTTTTCAATGATCCAACCGTCAAACTTATTTGTACACGTTCCAAGATCGCATACGTTAAAAATCGTAAAAAACAAACATTCAGAGATTGCGTAATGGAACAAAAGTTTTCGACGGTTATAAACGAAAAATCACAATTTAACGGTTTATTTCATCTCTGATTTTGATGATTTTTTTTACAGATACACTCCTCGACCCTATAAGAATGTAATGAATAAATTTGATCTTTAATTTAAAGTATTTACACTAGTGGATACCACAAAAACTTATTTTATACTTAATAGAAGTATAATATTAAGTGTTTGTTTAATCTACTGTTTTGACACAATATGCATTCTACAAAACTTTTTTCAACGATTCAACCGTCAAACTTATTTTTACACATTCCGAGATCGCATACGTAAAAAATCATAAAAAACAAACATTCAGAGATTACGTAACGGAACAAAAGTTTTCGACGGTTATAAACGAAAAATCACAATTTAACGGTTATTTTAGCTCCGATTTTGATGATTTTTTACAGATACACTCCTTGACCCTATAAAAATGTAATGAATAAATTTGATCTTTAATTTAAAGTATTTACACTAGTGGATACCATAAAAACTTATTTTATACTTAATAGAAGTATAATATTAACTCTAAGTGTTTGTTTAATCTACAATTTTGACGCAATATGCATTCTACGAAACTTTTTTCAACGATCCAACCGTCAAACTTATTTGTACACATTCCAAGATCGCATACGTAAAAAATAAAAAAAAACAAACATTCAGAGATTACGTAATGGAACAAAAGTTTTCGACGGTTATAAACGAAAAATCACAATTTAATGATTATTTTATCTCCGATTTTGATGATTTTTTACAGATACACTCCTTGACCCTATAAGAATGTAATGAATAAATTTGATCTTTAATTTAAAGTATTTACACTAGTGGATACCACAAAAACTTATTTTATACTTAATAAAAGTATAATATTAACTCTAAGTGTTTGTTTAATCTACTGTTTTGACGCAATATACATTCTACAAAACTTTTTTCAATGATCAAACCGTCAAACTTATTTGTACACATTCCGAGATCGCATACGTAAAAAATCATAAAAAATAAACATTCAGAGATTACGTAACGGAACAAAAGTTTTCGACGGTTATAAACGAAAAATCACAATTTAACGGTTATTTGAGTTTCAATTTTGATGATTTTTTTACAGATACACTCCTCGACCCTATAAGAATGTAATGAATAAATTTGATCTTTAATTTAAAGCATTTACATTTTTTTATATATGAGTGATTGTATATATATATATATTTTTACATGTTTTACACTTCTACAATAATTATTATTAATTTTATTAATTTTGCCCTCAAATAAAAAACATTATTCATGAGGGTTTGAAGGATTTTAAAAATCTAAACGATAATATAAGTGTAACAATTATCTATTCGTAGAGGAATAATGATAAATCACGAGTGTTTATATATTCTTTCACATTTTTCATACTTGTATGTATGTCTTCTTAGTTCTTGCATATACAAATACTATACCAGTATATTTTAATTTTGGACAAGAATATGTTATGTAAAATTTATCCTAGTAATGATAATAAGGAACTCTCATAATAAAAATAAATAATGACTCAAACTTTTTTTTTAATTTTTTTATAATTTATATAGAACAATAATACAATACTATATATTTAATATAGAATATATTGTATATATTAATATGACTATTGTATTTTATAATAAATCTTTTAGTAATTAAACTTTAAAATTATTAAAAAATAATTTTTTCTTAACGGGTTGAAATGGGTTACCCACGTGTTACCCGCGTGTATACCTGTTAAGAACCCGTTATTAACGGGTTCTTAACGGGTCACCCGATAGTGACCCGATAAGTTATCGTGTTGACCTAAAACCCGTTATTTTCGTGTCGTTTTCGTGTCGTGTCAAAAACTGCCAAGTCTACCGCCGACTTCCTAATTTAACACCTAATCTAACAAATATATTATTTGACAAAATAAAAAGATGAATAATAAATTAGTTGTAATCTCGTCATATTCGAGATTTAAATTTAAAACATCTCCTTATAAATAAATAGAAATAATTCTAGATCGTCAAATCAAGTGACGAAAAACTACATATAAATGAAGTTGACTCCAGATTGCTTGCTCCCTACATAAAGATCCGATCCTAGAATTAGGGGATTAATGAGCTGGAATATCAGATTCGATTATCACAATAGAGTTTTCATTTGGGTCCTTCCCGGCGCGCATCAAGGGCTGCCCAAGGGGGATGGGCATGATCCTGCTTAGTGTGTCGATGGGTATAAAACAGTTTTATTTTATTTTATTATTATTTTATATTAAAAAAATCAAATCACAGCCGCAGGGAGGAGGAAGTTAACTTTAAGAGAAAGATTTGGTTTCTCAACGACTGAAAAGGAATTTCTTCTTAAAATACTTCGAGGTCTATTAGTAGAATTTCATGCTTATGATTAAAATATTTTATATTATAAATTATTCTGTAAAAATCATTACTACAAAAAAAAATCAGTTATAAGTAAGATCGTTTAGTAATCAAATTGTATAAAACAGATGAATGGATTTGATAAAAGCATTACGAATCATCTATCTATTTGTTACAATTGAATGACTAAACGATTTTAGTTTTCACCGACTGTTTTACTAAGATGATAGTTACATAATGATTTATGATTTAATCTATAAACTTGTTCCTATCATAATCAAGAAGTTGTGTAATAAGCCGATAAGGATTTAGTTTTGTTCTTTAGTGATTTCTCTCTCATGGTCAAACTTTTTATATATTTAGTTTCTCCAAAACAATTGAGGTGACATCTCTTACACCTCTTTTAGCTAAGACAAGTGAGAAATTATGATGCATCATAATCCCTTGGGAAGCCTCATGGTCAGTCGCAACGCATTGATGTGGATGGCGGGAACGCTCATGGTCGCCACCTTCCTCGCCGCCTCCAACGTCCATGCTTACCCTCTGACCCCTTCCAAAGACAACTACAAGCTGGCGCTCCACAAGGCTCTAATGTTTTTCAATGCGCAGCGATCCGGAAGACTACCAAGGCATAACAATGTGTCTTGGAGGAGTGACTCGTGCTTGAGAGATGGAAAATTCACCGATACTCTTAATGATCTGGTGGGTGGATATTACGATGCTGGAAATGCCATCAAGTTCAACTTCCCTGCATCCTTCGCCATGACTATGCTCAGCTGGAGTGTCATCGAGTATAGTGCTAAATACAAAGCTGCTGGTGAGCTCGCCCACGTTAAGGACATTATCAAATGGGGCACGGATTACCTTCTCAAGACCTTCAACAACTCTGCTGATTCCATTGATAGAGTCATTGACCAGGTTAGATGTCTTCTAGTTTTGTTGGTAGGTTTAGAACTGTTTTTGTAAGAAGTATTTTTGTTCGTTCATAATTACCTGTTCTTCTTATAAAGCGCCAAAAAACCTTTCTTGCCTCTTCTAGTGTCGCTCTATTTACATTTCCTCAGAAAAGACCAAGTCGAGTAAGTGTTTCCGTTAGAAACTTTTTCATCAGAAGCGTGTTAAAACACGAATGTTTTTCTTTCTATATATGTACTTAAAACTTCCCGAGTATGCATGCCAAAATCACCAAAATTGATTTTATGTTGCATAAGCACTTTTAGTTTTCTATGCCAAACTATGTAAGAAATGTTTATACCTATTTCAGAAACAGTCCCTAATCATTTCCTCTCTTTTACAATTTTTCTTTCATCTACCGATTTTAATTCTCAATTTGACTGTTTCTTATTAATTTGCTATGTATTTTGATAGGTTGGTTTGGGGAATAATGATGGAGATAGTGAAAATCCAATTACTACAGATGGTGATATTTTTTGTTGGATGCGTCCTGAAGATATTGATTACATACGTCCTGTGACCGCATGCCACGCTTGCTCCGATCTAGCTGCGGAAATGGCCGCATCTCTAGCCGCTGCATCCATTGTTTTTAAAGACCAGAAAGCCTACTCAAAAAAACTCGTCCATGGTGCCAAAACGCTCTTCAAGTTTTCAAGGAATGAGAGAGGCAGATACAGTTTCCCTGGTACAGATGCGGAACTCTTCTATAATTCTACCAGTTACTGGGATGAATTCATATGGGGTGCAGCTTGGTTGTACTACGCAACAGGCAACAACTCTTATCTTCAGCTTGCAACAACTTCTGGTCTTGCCAAACACGCTGCCTTCTCAAAGGGGCCTATTCATGGAGCGTTGAGCTGGGACAACAAACTTCTTGGTGCTCAGGTATGTTAAAGGAGTTTGTAGTGTCTATGTTTAATATATCTTCATTTATCTTGTCAAGTGTATTCATTTGAGATTTTAAAGGATTTTAAAAGAGTTCAAAAATTTAAGGGTATTTAATAAGGATTTTAAACAAATTCATGAATGTCCAAGAATCCTTAACAAATCCAGCATCCTCTCTAAGATTTTGAGAGCACATTAACACGAAGTCTATGAAAGCCTATACATTAAAACTCCATCAAACTCTACGCATTTATAACTCTTTTAAAAACCCTTCAATATCTCAATTGAATACATCCCATGATTCTTTTTTTCTTTTGAGAAAGAAGATAAAATTAAGAGAGGAAAAAACCTCGGGAACACACAAGGCCCCTAGAGTCAAACAAGAAGGCACTAGTAGTTGTAGAAGGAACACAACCAATCCAAACATGAAAGTTATTTAGCACATGCCCACACGAGGTGACAGCATCCGCTACAAAATTTGCTTCCAACTTATAAAATCAAATGAAGAGGCCAAACATTTGATATCTTCAACAATTGTACGAATATGCCAAGGAATGCAACATTTTCCCAAAATCGCATCAATGACAATTTTCGAGTCTCCTTTCAATCAAAACCTTCTTGATATCCTGCGATCTAGCCACCAAAAGAGCATCCCTAGCAGCCAAAGCCTCTGGAAATGTGATCGTGTTTTGTCCCATTCTTCTCTAACCCGCCAAATAAGGTTGACCCATATGGTTTCTAATGACAAAACCTACTGCAGCAGAATTACCTAACATAGAACCATCAAAGTTTATTTTATGGTAGTCGAACTCCGGGTGAAGCCAAATGATCTTACTACTACTTTTATGATGGGCTGCCGCCCTCACCTTAGAATTAGCAAGCAAGAAGCTTTTAGCTAAAGAGATTGCAGCTCTGAAGCTGCGGAAGGGGTTTGGTTTGATATGTTTGAAGACAAAATCATTTCTTTCATTCTACATTTGCCACCAAACAGTAAGGACCTTACTAAGATCAGAGAGGTTGACTTTATCTATATAATCAAGGCTATCAAGCTAGTCATTGATACTCGGAACAAGGGATATAGCTGGCAACTTATTATCAATCTTCCACACTTTCTGAGCAAAAGGACAGGTTTTAAATCTATGACCAAGATCCTTCTTAGCACTATTGCATAACGGACATAAGGTAGAACTGTTATTGTTAAAACTATTTAACTTAACATTGGCGGTTAATTTATTTCTAACTAATAGCCAACCAAAAAACTTAACTTTGTGAGGAATATTTAGTTTCCAAATCCTACTAAGAAGCCTCATAAACGGGTGACACTGACTGTCATCAAGTTGAATTCTATGAGATGACTTAACTGAGAAAACACCATTGGAGGTTGGACCCCAAATAAACTTATCTTCTACATCAACTGGCAAAAGTTGGTTAAGAAGGTCAACATTCCAATTTTTATCCACCATCACATTGCTAACTTTAAGGTTCCAGTCAATAAGATGTTGAGACTAATTAGCAATGATATTGGATAAGGGGAAAGGAAAAACCCAATTACGGGACCAAAACACAATGTTTTGACTATTTCCCATAATCCATCTCACACCCATCTCCACAATATGTCTTGCTGCTATTATACCCTTCCAGGTAGCAAAATGATTTTGCTTACATTTCATATTCGAGATAGATTAGTGTCTCAAATATTTAGCTTTAACAATTTTCACCCACTAGTTGTCATTATCGTTAATAATCTTTCAGACAAAGCTTGGACAAGAAGGCAAGATTGAATTTTTCAGCTTTTCTAATACCAAGTCTACCTTTAGAAAGTGGGGTACAAACATCGTCGCAGGCCACAGGGGAGAAGTTAGATTTCTTATTCCAAAGAAATTTCCTATTCTTTCTGTTGATGGCTTGGGAAAATTTAGAAGGGCATTTGAAACAAGCCATGATATGATTAGGCATACCGGCAAGGCTAGACTTAATTAGGGTAAGTCTACCAGCACTAGACAAAGAATTAGGTTTCCAGCCAGCAAGTTTGTTCTGAATTCTAAGAATGAGTTCTTTAGCGTTAACCAGGTCTTTCCAGAAAATAATATTATGAATACCAAGATATTTATCAATTTAGTTTTATGCTGGATTTGAAGGATATTAACTATATCATTTCTTAGACTAGCAGGGGTATTATTAAAGAAATAAATAGAGGATTTATGGAAGTTAATTTTCTGACCTGAAGCCTCAGCGAACCGAAGTAAAAGGGATGCAATCCTTCTAGCAACATTCGAGGAGGCTCTGCTGAATATGAGATAGTCATCAACAAACATTAAGTTAGCAATTTGATAACCAAAAAGAGATGAGAGAATGCCAATATGATTGCTCGGGGTATTTGCTAACTTTTTAAAATGTCGTATCAGTGGTTCCATGCAAATGATGAAAATATACGGGGAGAGAGGGTCACCTTGCCTAATACCTCTACTTGGATAAAAGTAGCATTGTGGCATCCTATTGATCAAAATAGAAAAGGAGCAAGAAGAGATACATTCCATAACTCTATTGATCCAATCATGACTAAAACCAAATTTCCTAAGGGTCATTTTAATGTAGTTCCAATCTAAAAAATCATAAGCTTTTTCAAGATCAAGCTTAACAGCCATTTACCCCATTCTGCCTTTTCTATTCTTAAACTGCAAAAGAGTTCATGGGCAATAAGGATATTATCATGAATAGACCTACCAGGAGCAAAAGCACCTTGATTATGATAAATAAGTTGTTCAAGAATAGGTTTTAGCCTATTAGCTATAATTTTTGTGGTTACTTTGTGGACCACGTTGCAAAGGCTAATTGGCCTAAAATTATCTACTGAATCAGGATGATAAATCTTGGGAATAAGGGCAATATTAGTGTGGTTTATAAGCCATAAGTTAGAACCATTATCAAAGAAATCCTTAACCAAGTTAATAATAGAGTTTTTCACAATATTCCAACACTTCTGGAAAAAGATAGAATTAAGCTCATCAGGGCCAGGGGCTTTAAGGCTGCCAATGTTATTAACCATCGAGTAAATTTTATGTTCAAACATAGCATCATTAGGGAAAGATTCTGATCATCAATAACTAATGGTTGAATAACATCGAGAAACTCCTCCACAATGTTGTCATTAATTTGGTTATTACTAGAAAATCTCTGTTTAAATTTTTTAATGAAAACCTCTTCAATCCCTTTACCCTTTTCCCACCAAATGCCATGATCATCTTTGATTTTGAGAATTTCATTTCTTTTTTTTTTCCTCATGGGGGCCTTAGTGTGGAAGTATTTTGTATTATGATCACTGAGCTGAAGCCAGTTTGCCTTGGCTCTTTGAGCCCAAAGAATCTCTTCATCATTATAGAGCTTTAGTACGTTATCCTTCAACTGTTGTTCCTTATCCAGAATTCTCATATTATCAGGATGATTCATGCAAAGTTCTTGAATATGTTGAAGTTCATTTTGAGAATCCTTTATTTGTTTTAAAATATTTCCAAAATTCCTTCTACTTCAATCTTTAACTTTGTGCTTAAAAGTGTTAGCACACATTTTATAGAAATCATTTGGTTACTGTTAAAATAACAGACCCAACTATCCTCAACAATTTTCATAAATTTATGGTGATTAAGCTAAATAGCTTCAAACAAGAACTTATTATGGTATTGAACTAAAATACTTTGGAATGAGAGCTTAATAGGGCAGTGGTCGGAGCTAAAAATTGGAAAATTGTGAATGCTAGAGTCAGGAAATAAATTCAGCCATTGAGAATTAGAAACTACTTTATCAAGCTTTCCAAAGATTAAGGTATTATCCTTGTGACCATTGGTCCAAGTATAAGGAATGTCGGAGGCAGGGATGGTGGTTAAACCCCCGGTATTAAGGAATTCTACAAATTGAATTACATAGTTAGGAACATGATTTTGCCCACCCACTTTTTCACTTAAGTTTGTAGTGGCATTAAAATCTCCTACTAGAACCCAGGGATTATTCCCAGGATTATGGCTAAAATATTCTCCCAATCAATCTTCTGATTTTCTTTTGAGGAGATGCATAAACAAATGTAGTAAACCAGGTTAAATTAGTTCTTATGTTAGTAACAAGGCAATGGATAAATCTAGGAGAAGCAAATAGAATATTCAAATGGATTGCAAAGGAATTCCACAAAAGGCATACATCACCAACTTGCCCCACCATCGGAGAAACAAAGTTCATATCAAAAAACTGATTAAAAAAGTTCAAGCCATACTTAGACAACCTCTGCCTAGGTCATACTAAACAGAATAAATCTAACTTATTTATGTTACTAAGATGCTTAAACTGGCTTTTGAATCTTGGTATACCAAGACCTCTGTAATTCCAGAACAACCACTCAATTAGTCAATATCTTCTAAGTTTGAAATGGCCCCAACTATCTTGTTACTTTCATCTCTCATCCTCTTCCTTAGGCTAAGCATCCCCACAGAAGGCCTCACAACTTCATTGCCTTTCATATCAGCTTGTGTATCCTTCTCCATAGCAAACTTCGAGGGGCCAGACATACTCCCTGCAGATTCAATTAGCATGACATCCTGCTTATCAATCATATCATTATCTAAATCATTAGTTGCAATCCAATTCCTAAAAGAAGAGTTAAGGAGTAGACTATCAACCCAGAGGTTGGCCTCCTCATAAGCAAGGTGACTAAGTCTATCTTATAGACTAAACATCTCATGCTGAGTACAACATTTATTAATTTGCCAAGAATTATTTAAAGGATAGCTTACCCCATGCTGGTTTTCATCCAGGTCTGCAAGGAGTAGGATTCTCTCCCTTTTTTTTTTCCCTCCCATTCCCTCCCCTTCTATTTGAACGGTCACGGTTAGGCCACGTCAACATCTTATATTAATTTTTTATAGAAAGAGAAAGACAAAATAGAGAATGTGATAGGAAGGGATGGAAAGAGGAGGGGAGAGAATCCTAGTCTGGTCTGCAATCACCTCCCAATGATAACCTTGATAATCCTTTACTCATCTCTCTAGGCCAGCTCCACGAGTAACCTCTTTGAAAGTTTGATTGTCCCTCAAAGACTTGCCACCTCTCCCTTTAGTAACACTACTTCTCTTTTTGAAAGGCATTTGTGTCCAACCCTCCTGATCAGGCTCACCCCCGTCAGCGAACCCATGAATTAGATCTGAGGGGTCATCCTCAAAAAATGCAGCATGAGGGAAGCAGATCATGATATCCTCATGAACCTTATCTTTCCTAGTTGACACCTTTGGGACATTAGTAGGGAACACTCTAGGTTATTCTTTGAAGAGTCTATCAATGAGGAATAAAGGTCTAGGGTCTTTAAACTTTTGAGGACATTTATAGAACTCTAACCTCATCCGCCCACAATAGAAATAGACTTCGAAAAGCTTCTCATAGCTAACATAAATGGGATCATTGTCCCTATCATTAAGCAAAAATACTATCAGGAGAGGGAACTAGATATCAACCTCCATCAATGTTCTCACAAGCAGTCCATTTAAGCCATGCAAAGTAACTTCATCCACTTTAATCACTTTCCTAATCACTTGGACCATATTCTCCACAATATCAGCCTCACGAAATTGGATAGCCAGCCTCGGAACCCTAACCCAAACTTTAATGGTATGGATCCCATCTAGGTCACATAAATCTAGGGTCTATTTTTCAATATGAAAATTTTTCCCCTTAACATACCATGGTCTTCCCTCCAAAACCACATCAACATCCTCTTTATTCATAAACTCAATCATGTACCAGTTCTTTCCATAATGATCTAGGAAGAAGTTACCCTGAATTAGACCCTTCCAGCTTATAACAAGCTTTCCTTTGATGAGTTTCGCATCCACCACTTGCCCAAACATCTTCCCAACCAAGCATCGACGCTCCATATGTTCAACATTTGTAGTAGAATACAAAGAAGTAGACACTCTGGTGAAACCTCTCTCAAGAGTGACAACATTCCTAGGTCTCTCAACAACAATGGGTTGTTGCTTAGGTTGAGTATGGGATAAGGATTAATCTAAGGGGTATCTCTAGGGTTGGGGGAGTTCCTAAGGGACTTTGAAGATGAAGCGAGAAGTTAAGCCATGGGTGTAAATAGTGAGTAAGCTAAGTAACAAAAGGCAGAAATTAAAGTGAGGGGTTTAATGCAGTAGCAACTTTTTATAAACAGGTTCCGTCCAGAGTTAAATGAGAGACTAAGTCTATAAGAAAGCCTAGAGACTAGGTGAAACACAAAGCATGTAAACCATTTAAGAAACCAAAATGCACGCATGCAAGAAAAAGGTGAGTAGAAACACCTATTGAGCTTCACCACAAAACAAAAAAAGCTTCCTTGTAAACTCAAATGACGTAACACAACAAGCAACACAAATTAGAAGAAACAACACTTAGCCTATTAAAAGCAGACCATTTCCATAAGCTAAAAGTTAGCCCCTCATCATCAAAATGCATTAAGCAATCACACACATCAAAACACTGACGGTTCAAAAAGGAATCATCATTAAGCTTAATCCAGTTATCTATTAACCAAATTTGCAAACAATAATAATTACTTTCCTTTAGCATGGAAATTTGCCATATCTGCATTCTTGTCTCATGAACCATGCTTCCGCCGGCTCTCCAATTCACTAGATTGGTTGAAGGATTGATGGTCGTTTTCACGCAGGGCTTGAACTTTGGATTGCTTCACTTTAAACCTTTTCCCTTCCATAAACCCTCAGAGTTGCCTTGTTCAAATTCTCCTCTAAATCTTTCCCATAATTGTTCCCAATTTAAAAATAGGCTTATAATTACTCTACAAGAACTAGAATCAACAAGAAATTGGATTAATTCGATGAACAGCAGGAGAAGCCAAGGGAGCACAAAACCTAGGCCCCAAATCACCTCCCCCTCCCGACTGGAGGAGAGAAAGGGAACATTTTGCGTGTATTGTCAGTCTTCTTTTAGAAAATGATTCTTCTTCTTATAATGTCCAAAATATGAAAATCATTTCCTTTAATTTTTAAATATTAATTTTTTGCTAGGAATAGAGAGAAAATATATGTAGAAAATGAAGGATAAAGAGGGTGTGAGAAAGTGATGGAAATGAATACGAAATGTATTGTAATGCATATGAAAACAATAATTAAAAGTGAAAATGCCCAACAAAAATATTGCTTTGCTTTTTTGTTTGTAGTTTTCATATTGCGTATCATTTCCATATATACTAACTTTTTCCACATCCTTCCGGCAATCCTTTCTATTTTTCATCTCTAATTATCCCTTCTGTATTTTCTATCTTTACATCTAATAAGAAAATCAAACTTAAAAAATGAAATGCCTATTATACAGGCCATCATAAAATTTTGAGTTTTCCTTTTAACTTTTATTGCTAATTGATCATGATGTTGAGACTCTTTTTGAATAGGTACTTCTAACCCGTTTGAGGTTATTCATAAATCCTGGGTACCCATATAGAGAAACTTTGAGAAGATTTCACAATGAGGCTAACACAATCATGTGCTCATACCTCCCATATTTCACAACCTTTAAAAGGACAAAAGGAGGCTTAATCCAACTGAATCATGGAAAGCCAAAACCTCTTCAATATGTAGTCAACGCAGCTTTCTTAGCTACTCTCTACAGTGACTATCTTGAAGCAGCAGATAATACCAAGTCAGCTGGGATGTTTTGTGGACCAAGCTTCTATTCTATTGATGTCCTACGTGAATTTGCTAAAACCCAAATTAATTACATACTGGGAAAAAATCCCAAAAAATTGAGCTATGTTGTAGGGTTTGGTAATCGTTTCCCAACACATGTCCACCACAGAGGTGCATCCATTCCGAACAACAAGATGAAGTACAGTTGCGATGGGGGTTGGAAATGGAGGGACACTTCAAAGCCAAACCCTAACACAATTGATGGTGCTATGGTTGCTGGCCCAGACAAAGATGATGGCTTCCATGATGTTCGTACTAATAACAATTACACTGAGGCTACTCTGGCAGGAAATGCAGGTTTAGTGGCAGCACTTGTTGCTTTGTCAGGAGACAAAGCTACTGGGATTGACAAAAATACCATTTTCAACGCCATTCCGCCGATGTTTCCAACTCCTCCACCACCACTGGCGTCACGAAAGCCATGAGATGTAGTAAGACGGTCATATATGTTCTTCTGAATTTTAAGGCTTACATTTAAACTTCGTGCATTTACCTGCATATTGCTAAATCTTTTAATAATATTATGATATATGCAGGGCCGTCTCTGAGATTTTGGGGGCTGTGTACAAAATTTATAAAAGCGCCTCTCCTTAAGATAAGTCTTAAAAAGTGTAGGACAATGTATTGACACTAGAAAACAATCACTTAAATCAAAACAAAGCTTAGCACACACTGATTGCAAGTTTAAAAATGTCATTAATAATAAGTAAAAAGAGCTACAAACATAACGTTTACTAAATAATAAAAAACAATTCAATCTTAAACAACCAAACAAGAAAACAAACTTCCAAAACTCTAACTTTAAAGTTTCACTTGAATATGTAACATTATTATATAATAATATTGAAAAAAAAAATACTGTCTTTTATGGTGTATTATTGGCACTTAAAATATCTTATTGTACTCTAAATTTTTGTATTTAGAAAGAAATCAAATTACGCTTAATAGAAGTGTAAGACGAGATTTTAAAGTGCTAACAAAATCAAATTTTGAATATAAAATATTATTTCATAACAAAAGCAATTTTAAATATAGAATATTATTACATATAAATATAAGGTGACAAATTTTTTGAGAGCCTCTTCAAATTTGGGACCCTGTACGATTGCACCTTTCACACCCCTCAACGCCCCCTCTGGCTATATGAGCTAGCATGTAGTATGCAAACGGCAGATATTTCCTTCTTTTTTATATTTTAAAGAAAGCACTTCAAATTGAATATATTTGTTAATTAAATATGTGAATATATGAACTAGCTTAATTTGATATTATAATGTACATTTTACCTTGACCACTTTTTTGGTACATGCATGCTAATCTTGCACGACACAAAAAGTATCAAGAGAATGAATTTCAATGACTTTTCGAGTATTTTCCCAAAAGAACAAAGGAAAACATTTCATGTCGCGAATTAAAGAAAGGTCCTTTTTGATTTCAGACCCACTCAACACCCCGTATTTTAGAAAAAAAGAAAACTCGAATTAAATGTTTTGATAATTAATCTTATATTGTTGTAGGCCTATTTGACTGAACTGTATTTAGGAATAGAGAGGGAGAGAGGCCAGCTGCAAGAGAGAGAGAATAGAGAGATTTAAATGTGAGGTGTGTGTTATATCATTTATCCGACACTATGTAAATGATGTGTTGGATATCTTTTATCCGACATTATGGCTTATTAACCGACACCATAATCCGACACTTAAAGCTAATATTGTAGTAGTGTCACATTGTGCCCTTATTTATAGTAGTATGATAGGTTAAACCTTACAACTCCAGTAGGATAATAACTACTAAAGGGAATATTCCAAGATAATTCTTAGATACACTAGGATTTATACGATCACATTCTTATTCTAAATATGACTGCAACACTCTCCCTTAAGTGTGTAAACACTCAAACAAAACATCGCATCAACTCTTCAGCAAATAAGGTAGTACAGTTGATGATGTCAGTGGTACAATGAGCGAATACGAGTCTCAAATATAAAGAAAGTATGCATAGGTAGTAAAACTGACAAAACCTTGCTATGGTAAAACCTAGAGCAAGTGAAAACCCATAGACTAAGGAGAAAAGTTAGAAGTATGCATAATGTCTAAAACAAACGTCAAACAAGACGAAAGTAGTGACCTCAACGGAGTATGATCATCTTAGGATGGGTGCCTCTTTAAAACCTCGTTAGGTAGCAAAAACCTAGTGGAAAAAATACTCCTAATCGTAGGAAAAAAAATACATAAAGATCAAGTGAGTATGCTTCAGGATACTCCCCCTGAATGAGAATAACAGAACTTCGACGCTATGTGTTTGACATTGTCTCCCTTAATGTATCCATTCTTTAACTGCTTGGTACATACTGCATTGTCTTCAAAGATCATCGTAGGAAGGTTAACGACGGTAGTAAGACCACTAGTGCTTCGAATATGTTCCATGACTACTCTTAATCAAAAGCACTCACATGATGCTTCATGCAGGGCGAGAATCTCAACATGGTTTGAAGATGTCGCAACTAGCGTTTGCTTGGTAGACCTTCAAGATATAATGGTGTCTTCAACGGTAAAGACATAGCCCGTTTGAGAACGTGCCCTATGTGGGTCAGACAGATAACCAACATTCGCGTAACCAATAAGGCAAGAATCAACCCAAGGACCGAGGAGGCGGCAACTCATCTCGAGGATTCGTGGGTGTAGAGCAAGCCCAAATCCGTCATATCTTTGAGGTAGCGAAAAATGTCTTTAACACAATTCCAGTGTCTGCATGTAGAAGCATTACTCTATCTTGCTAAAAGATTAATAGCGAAGGAGATGTCAGGTCTAGTGCATTATGCCAAGTATAATAAAGCACCAATTTCACTTAGGTATTGAACTTTAGGCTCCAAAATCTCTTCATCATCCTCCATGGGCCAGAAGGGATCTCATTTAGTGTCTAGAGTTCGAATGACCATATGAGTACTCGAAGGCTTCGCTTTATCCTTATTAAAACGTCGCAACACCTTTTGGGTGTAGTTCGATTGATGTACTAAGATTTCATCCGAATAATGTTTGATCTCCAAGCTGAGAAAATATCGAATTTTCCCAAGATCTTTCATCTCAAATTCTGATTTCAAGTGAACGACAATTTCCTCAAGCTCTGCAAGATGAGGTTCATGTCGTCGACAATTTCCCCAAGATCTTTCATCTCAAATCCGGAATGTGACTTCTTTATGAACACGCATGGGCATAGTTCGTTGTTTACATAACCCTGACTTGTCAAATATTCACTCAGACGGTTATACCATATCCGCTCTGATTGTTTCAATCCGTAGAGTTATCTCCTCAATCTAATAGAGAGAGTGTTTCATGGTTTAGAACTATTTGAACCAGTCAATGGAAGTTCTTCTGGAACTTTCATGTAGATTTCCGTATCTAGATCCCCATAGAGATACACGGTCACCACGTCCATAAGCTGCATATTCAGTATTTCAGAAACTACCAAATTGATAAGGTAGCGGAACCTTATGATGTCCATTATGGGAGAATGCGTTTCCTCGTAATCAATCCTAAGGCGTTGAGAGTAGCCTTGCGCTATGAGGCGTGCTTTGTATTGCAGTATTTCATTCTTTTCATTACGCTTCCTAACGAAAACCCATTTGTAGCCCATGGGCTTCACATGTAGTAGAGTATGAGCTACAAGCCTAAACACCTTACATTTCGCAAGCGAATCGAGTTCGACTTGGATTGCTTGTTTCCAGTTTGACCAATCCGTTCTATGTCGGCATTCATAGATGGAATGTGGTTCAATGTCATCGGTAAGCATGATGTCTGTTTATACCATATTTAGGGCCTCGTATTTAGATCTCGTACAAATACTCGGGGGACTTAAATGTAAGAGCCCTTATTCTATAAAAGGACTCTTCACCCTCACAATTAGGGGAGGCCAATTCCTAAGGCTTCTCACCCCTCATCATGCTCTCACTCTCAGAGCTCTCTCTCTCCCTCAGATAAATACATAAATCAGTGTGGACGTAGCCCAAACCTTGGGGTGAACCACGATACATCTTATGTCTTTTACTTTCTTGCAGATTCACGGTCGGATTTACGTTGTTCCAAGACCTCCAGTTTTGTGCATCAACAATGTCAGTAGCTATTATGTACACAAATGCATCGTCGATGATCATCTTATTCCGATTCCAAACCTTATCCAATACTGCGTAGTGGACCAAAATCTTGAGATTCTCAGGAAGCTTGGTTCTCTCATATAAGATATCATCGTAATCTAGAATAACCTTACACATTGGAACATATGAGTGAGCGATGGGCGGATTCAGACTAGGGACACTAGTTTATGCCGTTTTCCTCTTTTGGGGTTGTGAATCTTTAGAACCAGGAGGTCTGCCATGCTTCAGGGTAGGAGGAGCAGATGATTGGTTAGTCGCCAATGTACGGGCCGCGTGGAAGGTGTGGTCGCCCCACCCTCGGAGATAGTTTGACCTTCCTATACGGTATTACGACGTACTCAAGGTACGTCGATCCTTGCAGGTGCATTTGCAGCGGGTATATGTGATCTTATCACTTTTGCTAGATCAGTAAAAGCATATGGCATGCTTTGAGCAATGCTCTGAAGATTTAGAATACGTTGCACTTTAGTTTCAAATTGGGCAGTGCAAGAATCTAAATAAGACATACTGGGAGCATACAATGACAATTTGCGGCGTTCTTATCTCCCCCTAACGACGGGAAGACTGTCTCATCAAAGTGATAATCCGCAAAATGTGCGATAAAGAGATCTCCTTTCAAGGGCTCTAAATAGTGAATAATTGATGGCGAATCATAACTGACATAGACTCTTATTCTTCTCTGATGACCTCTTTTGGTACATAGTGGCAGCGCTATTGGCATATAGACTGCGCACCTAAACACACGTAAATGTGAGACGCAATGCTCGTATCCAGTAACCAACTATAATGGTTAATGAGGTTGGATAACGGTGGGCTTCAGACGGACCAACATAGTTGCGTGCAATATTGCATAACCCTAGGCAGATACTGGCAGTTTGGTTAGCATGACCAAAGTTCGAGCTATCAATTGTAGGTGTTTTACGAAAGCTTCTGCCAGGCCGTTTTAGATGTGAACATGGGGTACATGATTTTCAACTTCAATCCCAGTTGACATGAAATAGTAGTCAAAAGTTTGTGATGTAAACTCTCCAGCATTATCCAGTCGAATCGACTTGATCGGATAATTAGGATGGTGAACCCTAAGCTTAATAATTTGTGCTAAGGAGTTTCGCAAATGCAGCATTACGTGTGGACAATAAGGAAACATGTGACCAACGTGTCGATGCATCAACCAACATCATAAAGTATCTAAATGGTCCGCATGTTGGTTAGATAGGTCCACAAATATCCCTTTGAATCCTCTGAAGAAACTTAGGAGGGTTGTGAATAATCTTTGTTATTTAGGGTTGAGTATTCAACTTTCCTAAAGAATAAGCTTTGCATGGAGGGAATACAACGTATGGAGGTAAATGATGCCCATGTGATGATTTCAGGATACGACACATCATGTCACATTCGGGATGTCCCATATGATCATGCCAAAACAGTAAAATGCTCTGGAACCTGGG